CACACTCACCCCAACCCACACAGCCCCCCGGCCCCCACACTGGGGAGGGGAGGGGGAGGGAGAAGAGCACAGGACATGACAGACTTGAGAGGAAGCTTGAGGGCTAGAGCAGGGGCCAAGGAGGCTGCTGCCCAGCCCTAGCCTGTCTGCTGCAGCTTCGGCCCGGGGGGAAGGAGGCGATTCCTCATTCAGTTTCAGTTTAAGAACCAAACCACAGGAGGCTGCAGAGGGAGCTTTATTAGCGCAGTCCCGGCACGGGCAGCAGCGCACACCCACACGTGCACCCACCCACACACGGCCCGCCCAGACTGGCACCGTGCACCACCGCGAGGGCAGGGCTCCCAGGTCACTGCTCCTGGCTCGCAGGCGGCCGCCCACAGGGCCAGCAGCTCATCTGTCCACCTCCCCGAAGACGATATCCTGCGTGCCTGGGGAGGAGAGGGGCCGTTAGACAGGGCAAGGGGAGGCCCAGCCAGTCCTCGCAGCCCCGGGTCCCCCCCCCGCCAGGGAGTCAGGTCGGATGGCCATGGGAGCAGCAGCAGGGAGTTGCAGGAGGGCTTGTGCCCATCACACGGTACCACCAGCCCAAGGGAGTCAACAGCACCCCTGCCACAGCCAAACCCTCCAGCCCCCCCTGCAGGAGGAGCGGGGGCACCGCCTGCCCCAGCCGGCCCTGACCCCCCCAACTGAAGAGGAACCAGGTCTCCCAGAGGACACTGCACTGGAGTCCACAGGGCCAGGCTCAGGGCACCCTGGACCTGCCGCACTAGCCAGCACATTCCCACCACGCTCCTGCCCAGCAATGCCACTTAGTGGGGTCACCAGCCCTCTCCCCACCCTCCACAGCCTGCTGTTGGCTGCCCACACCGCCTCCCTCCAGCCCCAGTTGAAGAGGAACCAGGTCTCCCAGAGGACACTGCACTGGAGTCCACAGGGCCAGGCTCAGGGCACCCTGGACCTGCCGCACTAGCCAGCACATTCCCACCACGCTCCTGCCCAGCAATGCCACTTAGTGGGGTCACCAGCCCTCTCCCCACCCTCCACAGCCTGCTGTTGGCTGCCCACACCGCCTCCCTCCAGCCCCAGTGCCCAGCGTACCGATGATGGCCACCACGTCCGCCAGCATGTCACCCCG